AAACACCGAGCCTCTACGTTAAAACTGAAGAACAAGGAAGAAAGACTATACAACTCCCTCTGGCTTCTCTGAGATCCGGGATCTGGGCATAAAACACAACTGATCACAAATCCAAAACAGATGTGTGTGTGAAAAAAAGAGACCTAAAGTTGCGTGCACACATTTTATAACCTTGTGCTGGGCTGCGATAGATTTTCCTATAGAAACGCTACTAGAATCTGTCTTAATAAGCTGTTGGGGATGTATGAAAACTCATAAGAAAAATCAGTCAACTACCTTTTCTTACAAAAATGGAGATGCTCTCGAGAGCTGGGAAATCCCCAAAAGGAGTTTATTACTTTAATACTGCAACCATCATTTAAAAAAGTCTACAAATCGTTATCATGGTAATGTTATCAAATTATAGGCTACTAATTATTTATCACTTTAGCTCTGCCTACATTTAAGTCTGATGTCATCATTAAAGTCTGACAGGTCAGATAAGAGTTTGACACAAGCTGCAACCTTATAGTACTGATGTGGAAGGTTAATATCTTATGAGAATAAAGAGGGCCAATACAGTTCCCTACTTCCTGACTTCAGGCTTTCCCAAAGAAATAATACAGCATGGGAATACTAGGGGAAAAGATGAAATGGTGAAAGGGTTTTTTCAAAGCTGGAAGCAAAAGGCTTCATAATAAAATCAAATTACAGCCTTGTTATAACAATAAAGAGCTTGAGGCAGAAACCGTTTTGGAATACAGGGCAAGAGGTTGTACTTATGACCTCTGAAAATGCATTAGGATTAGGTGGTACCAAGTCAAGTAAAGAAAACCAATGGGAAACCTGGTGGTGAAATATTGAGCTTTACTGAGCTACTGAAGAAAAGAGAGGGCTTCAATAAATAGAAAAAACCAATTTTGATCAAGTTGTTTATGGAAAAAAAAGACAAACGCTGTAAAAAGGAGAGTAATAAGAGAAGCAGCATTAAGCGACAGACTGAACTGAACATAACAGAAGACAGGATGAGAGAAGAATTGGTACATTGGCTAAAAATCCATTCGTCATGAACAAAGGACTTGGATAGAAATGTCTCCAATATTATTAGTGATGGGAAGAAGGGATTAACAGTGCAGCTAAAATAAATCTTTCACACCCAAAAGACGAAGTTTGAAAATCTTCTGATTTTTACCCCATCGAGGGATTGATTTCACTAGCTGAGGGTCACAACTCAGAACAGGCATCCCGTTGGGGTCCAAAATGTGAACAGCACTAAAAGAGGAGGCAGTCGGTTGTTTAAACCATAGCGGATGTGACGGACTGTACTTGTAGTACGATTCAACTTTGCAGTTTTTGCCAAGAAGAGTTCTTGTCTCTGCTGGTTTTCACCTGGACAGTTTGCAATCTGTTGTGATGCCATGTCTTTGACTCAACTTATCAAATCCATCAGCTTGTTGTGAGCATGGTGGATCACAGCCTGCCGGCCTTCAAACCACGTTAGAAGCTCTGGATTGCATTTCAGCCACAAATGTCGCTTGATCTTCAACATCGCCCCTCTTAAGAGATGAGTTTAAGCAAGTACTGCAAGTCACGTGTGATTTCCAACTCCCTACTCACAAGTTGCCAGTAGCACCTCATATTCCTGACATGGTAATGAACCACATGAAACCATTCATTTTACCTTGTAAGCACTGGCTCTGGTTGAAGTAGCAGCATCACCTGTAGATCCCCACATTGATTGGTGACAGACTCCCTGTACCAGAGCTTACAGCCCAGACAATGTTTAAAGGATTTTTTAAAGGAGAAAACCAGGCTATCCACATTAGAAAACTGCGTGCACCAGATGTCACTTGCTAAAGACAGGATTGCATTGGGTTGCATTCCTTGGAGCACGTCGGAGAAAGCTTTGCACATAGACCTGACACTGTCAGACAGAAATGCTGAGATCGTGCTGCAGTCTAAGCCATAGTTTACAAAAACCTTCACTGCAGCTTGCGCTTTTGTAGAAAAATGGACAGATGTGAGGTGAACTGGCTCTGCTTGGAAAACAGGCAGGTCACAGTCTGTCCAGCTACCAGGTAAAACGTGCAGGACAGTTATCTTGAGGATCTGTGGCTTCATCTACTGCAAGAATAAATCAAGATGGATTCATATTCTGCCAGTGCAGCCTTTGTAGACTCTACATGCGAAGCAATCATGGCTGGTAGATCATTTTGGCGAAGCTTGTTCACACATGGAAAACATCCACCATTTGGCATATTTGTCTTCAGGAACTCCCTTAATTTAGAGCTGTCGATTTTCTGCAAAGGGATGTTTGTGGCGAAGCACCACAACTGGTGCAGATGGAGCCCCTCTTCTTATCACACTGTTTTCAGTGGCTATCTTAAATATCGGGGACATAGTTGTCTTGTCTCTTGCTCTGTCCTTCAGCCCCCGAAGCAGCCTTTCAATGCTCTTTTTCCTTGCCACATCTCGGGTCACATTGCAAGATGAACCAAACAATTTTGCCACCATCTGCCTGTAAGGTACCTTCAGTGTACTGCCTTACACGATCCATAACCAAAATGATCTTAGCTTTATGGGAGTTCCTCCTAGAGGTGCACCGATATATCAGTCACATATCGGATCAGCACAGATAAAAGGAAAATTAACATTATTGGCTATCAGCAAATATAATGTGTCTTCTGGCCAGGAGCACAGCTGGGCAGCGTGGAGTGCAGTGCCCTGCAGGTAAATATGTGGAGGGGAGGAAGTGGAGGGGAGGAAGGAGGTGTAGGGGGGACAGACTGAGGCCCCACAGGGAGGGAGGAAGCAGGGCAGAGGCTGGGGTGAGTGAAGCCCTGGAGCGGGTCATGGGATGTTCGGAGCCCAGGTGGCTTGTCCAGGGGTGCCAGGGGGCTCCCGCCACTGCATGCACCTCGGGAGAAGCCCAGGGGCATGTGCCCCCCCAGATCTGTGCGTGGGGCAGAGGCGGGTTGCCCGCTGCAGCCTGGGCTCTGTGTTCTGCTGCTGCTGCCCCGGGAGCCAGCTCTGGGAGCTGGTGGCAGGTGCAGAGCCCAGCCTGCAACGGGCAGCACAAAATTGTGGTTTTCTCAGGGCCCTACACATGATAAGTTAAAAGAATTGCTGTACATTATTTCCTCTACAAATATGTAGTAACTCCAGCCTTAGGCAACCCCTGTGTATTATTCATGTTTGCATTTTGTTTATATTTTTCCCTGAATAAAAAGTTTAAAAAAAGAGGGGAAAAAAGTTAAAATAAAAAATATTGAAGCTAGACCTAAGAAGCCTGCAAAAATCAGCAATGGTCAGTTTGGTTTTAGAAAAAACCAAGATTACTTTTTTTACAAAAAATAAAGAGAAGAATAAACTACTAGATATAAACTTTGTAGATCTACAAAAAGCATTTGAGCAGGTCTCAAGGGAAAAACTTCAGTGAAGCTGGAAGAAGAAAGCAACAGCAAAGTACATCTGATTACCAACAGTAATCAAGGGCTAATAGTGTGCCCTTGATGCCAAGAAGGCTAATGGCATACTGGGCTGCATTGGTAGGAGTGTTGCTAGCTGGTCAAGGGAAGTGATTATTTCCCTCTACTTGGCACTGGTGAGGTCACATCTGGAGTCCTGTGTTCAGTTCTGCCCCACCTTACAGAAAGGATGTGGACAAATTGGAGAGAGTCCAGCAAAGGGTAATGAAAATGGTGAGGGGGCTGGGGGACGTGACTTGCAAGGGCAAGTTTAGGGAACTAGACTTGTTTATTCTAGAGAAGAGGAGACTGAGGGGATTGAATAGCAGCCTTCAACTCCCTGAAGGGGGGTTCAAAAGAGGATGGAGCTGGACAGCTCTCAGCAGTGAAAAATGAGAGAACAAGGAGCAATGGGCTCCAGTTACAGCAAGAGAAGTTTAGGTTAGATATTAGGAAGAATTTTCTCACCAGGAAGGTAGTAAAACCCTGGAGCAGGTTACCCAGAGAGGTGGTGGCATCTCCATCCTTGGAGGTATTTAAGACCTGATTCGACAAAGCCTTGGCTGGGACGATCTAGTTAGGGGTGGTCCTGCTTTGAGCAGGGGTGAAAACGATGACCTCCCGAGGTCCCTTCCAGGCCTAATATTCTATGATTTCGATGATTAAGTGAAATACATGTGCATCAAGCCTCCATGCTAGTCAGAACTAAGACCTGTAATGAACTTCCCTTGGAAATCATTTCGCCCATCGGGGCTCTGCATTCAGCCCACTTCTCTTCACCACAGTGATCGGTCTCAATGCAAAAACACTTGGATCCTCTGCACTGTGGATTATATGATGTTTGTAAGCAACCTCCCAAACTCCAGAGAGATTTTAGAAGGGCAAGAAAACTTTATCAACAAGGCAGAGTGAGCTTTAGAGAACAGGTCTTAAAGTAAATACAGCAAAGACAGCAAAAGACACATCTCTGTGGAAATGGAGAGGTTAGAAAAGCGAACTGGCAGAAACTTAGAGCAAATGGTTCGAAGCACTTGAGTTCTGCTGTGCACAACAATGTCTCCAGAGGATGATTGGAGGAAATGGAAGAGCCAGGTGCTAAAGCAGATGCTGGTGGGACCTTCATGGACTTATGCAGAGTAGTAACCAAAGAGAATCAAGTCGATTAGATGCCACCGAAACATAAAGGCTAGGACAGTTAAATGTCGGGACAAGATACAATAAGAAAGAGAGGATGTAAGACCACTTCCCAAAGTTAGGGTACTTGGTGAATATTTATGAACAAGGGGCTGGAGGTGGCAGGGGCAGGCTGGGAGGGCAGAGGGAAATTGGCTTGCAAAATAATCGCTGAATATAGAAGCAGCAGGAGTTGGACCGAGAGGAAGACCCAAGAGAAGGGCAGTGGATGAAATAAAGGAGGATATGGAAATGCCAAGCAGAACGCAGGCCTGATCAGTGACAGAACGTAATCGTCATGAGGGGAAAAGACTGTAAAGGAAAAAGAGGAAGATGACATTTCTCTGCTCACATAACTATGTGAAAGCAAAACAACTTTACCCAGGGAAACAAGGGTGTGGTAATTCCTCAGCATCTGGTCCCGGTAAAGCACCTTGTCTCCATCTCCCAGCAGCTCCCACTCCTTCCGGGTGAAATACACTGCCACGTCCTCAAAGGCCTCCCAGTGCTGCTGCAGACACAAAAATTACCCAGTCAGCCCCTCCTGCTCCAACCTCAACCAGACCCCACAGCTGCAATCCTTTTGCTGCGCTACAAAGACGGGCAGCTGGGCTGTGCTGGGTTTGGATGTGGAACTTCCCGTCTCTCAGCTGACACCACTGCTCCTGCAAAGCTCTGCAACAGAGGAGTGTTTGCTTGGGGTCCAGACCATCTGGGGAAGTGCTGCAGCTGTTCCCTCCACTGGTATAGGTTGTATCTACCCTTGGAAGCACACAGACTCTGTAGTGCAAGGGGCCTGCAGCTCACCTGGGGAAGCGGTTTTCCTAGCAGAACCTCCTGCCTGGGAGGGGCGACCTGGGAATCGATGCTTCACCAGCAGGCACCTCCACAGGAAACGCCGCAGCCTTGCAAGCCAGTGTTGGGCGTCTCCCTTTGCTCCCCACACGGCACCGAGGTGGGAAGCTCTAAAATCCTGAGGGATTTGCTGCCCCCACGCAACAGAGAGGGACACGCTGAGGTCCTACCTGAGTCGGGGCTGCTGCAGCCATCTCTGCTGTATTCTTCCGAGAAGACAGCGACAGAAAGGAGGAACGTGGATTCTCAGTGGCCTGGGATGGATCGGTGCAGGACTCAGTGGGGAAAAAGAAAAATCAACCTGGAAAGGAGAATGCAGCACTTCAACGGGATGCACTGAAACGACAATGCTACAGTCCCTGGACCCATAGTGTCCCCATCCAGGGCCACAAGCAGGTGGTGGGGAGTCCTGAGCACCCCTCACCCCTTTCTGCTGCACGGGGCGCGTCACTGCACTCCTCTCCCAGCTCCTCCGGTCTCAGCAGCTCAGTCCGAATCGCAACCGCGAGCCTGCGAGAGAAGGAAACGGTGAGGGACAGCTGCAAGGGAGCGGGATCACACCCAGGAAAGCACAACAGTCGCAAGCCACGACTCCGTTCCCCTGCCCCGCGGTCCCAGAGATCGTTCTCTCACAGCAACGGCTGGGAATTTGGCCCCGAGCCGCATCCAGCTCCCCCACGCCGAGGCAGAGCGCCTGCCTCAAACCCCGAGGTGCGTTGGGCGGGCCCGGGGACCTCGCAGGGCGCGTCGGCGTGCTCCCCGCTGCCCTGGCGCCTGCCTGATCGGACCCCGCCAACCCCTCTCCATCGGAGGAAATGTCTCGTCCTTCTCCCCATAAAACAAAACCCCCAGAGAAGTGCTGGGGGCGAGGTGGGCCCCCCCCCCCTTGTCTCTTGCCTTCAAATTCCCTTTTCTTCAAACTGCAAAGCCCTTCGCGGCACCTCGCGCAGCCGGATGCTGCTGTAGGTGCGTCCCAGTGTACCTGCATGGTGTATACACCTATAGCCCGTATAGATGTATCTATAGATATAGAGATTTCTCATATCTATGTATCATGTAGATAGATATAGAGCTATCACGTACGTGTATTTATCCATAATATATGTATATTATGTCTATCCATGTGCTCACACACGCTCGAACACCTGCACTCGCGCGCACATACACACCTCGCACGCCTGTGCATGCACCATCTCACACACACGAGCGCACAAGGGCATGTGGGGGGGGTATGTAGGTGTGTGTAGGGGGGGGAGCCTGGTCACGTGGGGGTGGGAGCACTCGCGTGTGCACACACGCACGCACAAACTTATTCATGCCCACACTTGCTCTCACTTACACACGTACGCACACCCCCTTGCACTCTCATGCACGCACACATGCCAGCATGCTTCTGCACGCCTGCACACGCACTCATGTGCGCACACGGGCGCTCTCGCCCGCATTCGTGCCCTCTTCATGCACGCGCACTCTTGCACACACGCTCACCCCGCAGCAGGCAGCGCACACGGCACAGACCAGACCGCACTGCCCGGCACCGACCCCTGGCCGCTGCC